AGTGACCTTGAAAAACCGATGCTGGGTCCCACCCACAAAGATTCTCATTGTATGGGCACTAGGATTTTAAAACTCTCCCCAGGTGGCTGAAATGTGCAGCCAAGGTCAGAACTTGTGCAATCCCAGGGCATTCTTTTCCCTTCCTCCACTCATCACTATATATATATTTTTTCTCTTCAAGTAGAACTATCTCAGCTATAGTAAAGGGCTCATTTTATGTCATTTGTATCAGGACAGATGACTGTCTTCTAGATAATGTTCCACAATTTGAAGATCTACTTTGAATTTAAAAATCAGCTTTATGAGTTTCCTCTGAACCTCTGCCAAGATCTCCATACCTCTCTTTTATTAAGAAGTCCAGAACTAGACACAGGCCTGAAGTACAGCCCTCAACAATGATGAGCACCCGCATAAAGGACTTTTGTTTCTTTCTGAATGAAAGGTACTGTTATAAATAAAGTCAGACTACTTGGATGGGGTGGGGAGGGCCTTTGATGGCCAGCAAAAGGTTTTCTCATGCTTACAGTCTGGCAGTGAGTCACATAAGGAGAAAATCTTCCTGTTTTGAGCTTTCATAATGAGAACACTAGATATGCTGTCACTTAACCAAATGCTGTAATTAATAAACTTTCTTGCATCTGTAATGCATAGATGGCTAAACAATAAAAACTAAACAGTTCAACTGTTTCAATAAATTTGGCTGAGGTCATGAGCAGAAAACTCAGCCTTAAACCTTAGAGACCAGTGACCTCCACACCTGACTGCTCCACCTGTAAGAATCTGGGATGCTTACTAAATATGTACAGATGTATGGGCAAAGTATAGGTGGTTTTAGAAAACTAGATCAGTTCTGAAACTTTGGGGTGGGGATGTCTCGCTAAAAATTTATTCAGCATTTCCAAGTATCTCAAAAGTGATGCTTGTGCTGCCACTTCATGGGTCACACTGGGAGTGGCAAGGCCCTGGATATCAATAACTATCAGTTTGGGAATCAGAACTTCAGGCATCTCCAGTGTTGCTCATCTCCAATGTTTACCAGCAGCTCAGCGTTTGTTAATGTGAGAGGTACACGGGCTGCAGGTGTGCTCAATGGTAGAGTGTGAGTTTTGGTCTTGATCCTAGCCCCACACACACAAAAAAGATGTTAAAAAGTGATACAACAGCTAATACAAAATGCCAAGTGGGCAGATTCAATTTCAAACCCTGTGAAAAAAAATCTGGCTGAGACTGTTTAATTCTGTTCATGCTCTCCTAATACAAGCAGAGAGTGAAATCTTAGTTCCTTTATTTCTCTAGTGATCTGTTCCTTAGAACAAACACAAAGGCAGGAGGAACCATTGCTTTAAATTCTTATTATTTTAACTGATGTATCTGGAGCACGGTGATAAATTAATCATGACGTCTGGTCTGATTCACAATCATATTCTAGCCCAATTTACACTTAGAATTTGCAGAACTGAAATGCGATGCATTTAAAGGGTGCACACATCCCAGATTTTTCTCTCTTCGCTGAGCTCACGGAGGGAGGAGCTCTCCGTCTTTTCCTGTAAGCACCTGCCTGTAGGGCCCTGGCCACCGTGGACCTGACTTCCCGCACAAAAAGCGCCCAGGAGGCAGACAGAAAGGGCGATTCTGCTGCAGTCTCAGCAGCTGATGAACGAGGCCTGCTTGCAACGGAAAATCGTTAAAATATATCTTCCCGGCTTAATGACCAAGGCGGGCTTATTCACCGGGAAGGGGGAGCGCGCGGTGGTGTTACTAAACATAACAGATGGCAGCTGTCTGCGGCTATATAGGGCGCGCTGACAAATCCCCCTGGACGGCCGCTAGGCCCTGGGCTGCTGGGCGTGGGTGCAGCCGCCCAGCGGGCTCTGACGGCACCGCCCAGGGAAGGACCCCCGGGAAAAGGCTGCCTCCCGCGCAGCCCCGGGAGTCCAGCCCGCTGGCTCGCGCGGCTTGGGGCTGAGACGCAGGATCGCTCTACCCGCCCCCCACTCCCCGCCTCCCGGGGTGGAGGAAGGGCTAGGCTCCTCCAAGGTCATGTACCTCCACACCTGGCGTCCCCCTCCAACATAAGCTCCCAGGGGAGATAATTAATTCCCCGCGCCGGTACCTATCCTGTGCCTGCTGGGCTGTGCGAAGAGCCGGTCTCCCCGCATCCACCTTGCAAAACCTAGGGATGGCAGGCACGCACTGCGACAAGGATGCCCAACCGTGTCCTAGTGCTGGTTTTGTGAGAAATGGGTCACAGCCAAGAACTGAGTATAGTAAACCTATTTTCCAAACCCTAGATCAAGACAGGACCTGTCCAGTGACATTTCTTTTGATTTGGAGATTTATTTAGATGGAGGAAAATCTTACAAGGTTATGAAAGTTGTTGTTTTCAGATATAAATGTTTTAAAATGTTTGTTTTAAAACATAAAACTAAATGAAATTGGACAGCACTGTAGAAGTCGGCAGAGCTTCCTGGAATATGGGGCAGGTGTCAGGTTGCCTGCTTTGGCTTGGGGTGGAGCAAAAAGGGAGAGATTGAGTTCTAAGGCCTGAATAATTATGAAATACTATATAATTTGTTAGCTGCAAAGACTGTTAAAAAGGTAAGGCCAAACAACAAAGCATCAGACAGCCATCTGCAAATCAGTAGGAGCTATCCAAGGAGAGGGTGCATAGGCACCTTCAGCACTCCTGGGCTAAACTGGGCTGCAAGGGTGACTACAAGAGGTGGTATGTGCATTCCGTGTCTAAATTCATGCTATCTGCTATTGTGTGCTGGAGTCCATGAAAAGCCTATTTCTCCCCTCACCTCTCCTTGACCCCTTCATTCTAGAAGGTTAGGGTCTAAGGCTTCTTTGTCTTCTCAAAAGTCTTACAGCACTTTTCAATGACACTGGGGAAAAGCTGAGGTCATTCATTTATTCAACCAATGTTGATTAAGAGCCTCTTATGTGCTGAGCCTAGGTGCTCCAACTCTGAACATAACAGGGAAGGATCTTTGCCCATGTGGAACTTACAAGAAGCAAGCTAAATGAATAAAATCTATGGAGATTGTGGACCTGACAATGGACTAGCACTAGTTTCCCATAAATAGAATCCTTCCTTTTGACATAGAATTTTGACACCTTGCTGGACCTCCTTCCATGAAGAACAGATTATTCAGTAATTTCAAAGAAAGAGGCAAGGATGAAAGAACACATATTGAAAGAAAAAGAAAAAGTTCTAATTCTTTTTTTATTGATTTAACTGGTAGAGGGGGTTTTGGTCCACATGTGGATCTTCCCCAGATAATA